AGCGACGGCGGCTCATGGATGAGTGCAGCGGCGAGTGCTCGCAAACAGGGACGACGGGAGGATGATCGGGATCCTTGCTGGTCGTCGGAAAATAGACATGATCGCAATGACAACGGGCAGCAGCGATGGGTTTGGCGGTCTTGCGAGGGCCAACGGCCGATGAGCAAAAAAGGAGTGGCGATCGGTTGCAAGAGATGAGTGAGGGAGAGGGTTGAGAGATTTTTCTCTCTTCTCTGATATGAACGAACGAGAGAGAGAGATATGAGAAGGCTGCGGTGGTGATGTATTTTTGATCGAGAGAGAAAAGTGATTTAATAGACTAGGTTTTCTTTTCTTACTCCTCAAGACACACACACACACACGCACAAGGGAGAGGGGCGAACTGGGTTCAGCCGGTCCGGGTCAACCGGTTCAGCTAGGCGTGCGGCTTCTTCGAGCTCGACATACGGCTCGGCTCTTGGGCTCGACTTAGCCGTATAATATAGCTCGGTTTGATCGCACGACAATTAAAAATAAAACCGAAACATTTTTATATATATATGTACTACACAATTTAATTAATTAATAATAATAACATTTAGACATGTAATGACAATTAGGCATTTAATATTAATAATAATAGTAATAATAATAACGATAATAATAAATAATAACAATAAAAATAAATAATCTCAAATAGTTCATAAATAAACGGGGCATTACAGGTTTCGAGTATTATGTCTCATTTATAGATGATTACTCGAGATTTGGGTATGTTTACCTGTTGTACCACAATTCCGAATGTTTTGAGAAATTCAAGGAGTATCGGGCAGTTGTGGAGAAGCTTCATGGTAAAAGTATCAAGTCACTTCAGTTTGATCGAGGTGGCGAATACCTCTTTGGAGAGTTCAAAACATACTTATCGGAAGCTGGGATTGAATCCCAACTGACTGCACCTGGCACACCCTAGCAGAACGGGGTTGAAAAGCGAAGAAATAGGACTCTTATGAAGATTGTTAGGTCTATGATGAGTTATTCGAGGTTACCAGATTCGTTTTGGAGTATGGCGTTGGAAACAACATCGTACATTCTGAACGTGGTTCCATCAAAGTCATTTGATACTACTCCTTATGAGATGTGGAAAGGGCGCAAGCCCAGTTTTTCACAGTTTCGAATTTGGGGTAGTCCTGCACACGTGTTAGTGCAGGAACCTGGCAAGTTGGAAAAACATTTGGAGGCACGAGTTTTTGTAAGCTATCCCAAGGGGACAAAAGGTGGATTGGTTTATAGTCCTGAGGATCAGAAGGTGATCGTTTCGACTAACGCCAGATTCTTGGAAGAATACTATATTATGAATCATAAGACTGCAAGTAGATTAGTCTAAGAGGGGTTAAGGAGTTAAGTCGATGGTTCCCCACCGAGTGCGCAAGTAGATACATCACATAATACTGCAACCCGGGACACTGAGAGTGTACCGGTGCAGACAGTGCCTCATCGCAGTGGGAGGATTTCTCATTTACCCGACCGATGGATAGGTCTTGGAGAGTCATCGGACTCAGTTCCAGGAAATCTTGAATCGGACCCAAGAACTTGCAATGAAAGCTGCAATAGGGTCGATGGACTCAAATAAGGTCTGGGATATTTTAGAACCACCCAATGGGATACGACCCATTGGATATAAGTGGATCTATAAAAGAAAGAGAGGATCAGATGGGAAGGTGCAAACCTTCAAAGCTAGGCTTGTTGCAAATGGTTATACCCAGATCGAGGGTATTGATTCTGATGAGACCTTTTCGCCAGTAGTTATGCTTAATTCCATTCGGATTCTCTTGGTTGTAGCCGCTCATATGAATTATGAGGTCTGACAGATGGATGTCGAGACGGCTTTTCTCAACGGGAACTTTCAAAAAGACATCTATATGCAACAACTAGAGGGATTCATTGCTGAAGGCCATGAGCATCTAGTATGTAAGCTTAATCGATCTATTTATGGACTGAAGCAAGCTTCGAGATCTTGGAACATACATTTTGACGAGGTGATCCAGTCATACGGGTTCACTCAATGTCCAGATGAGCACTGTGTTTACAAGAAAATCAGTGGGAGCGTGGTGGTGTTTCTTGTGCTTTACGTAGATGACATACTGCTTATTGAAAATAGTAAGAAGGAGTTATCAGATGTAAAGTGTGGTTTTCTAAGTAGTTTGATATGAAGGACTTTGGAGAAGCAGGACACACTCTTGGTATTGGGGTCATTCGAGACTGTAAGAAGAGAATGTTATGCTTATCCCAGTCTTCATACATAGATACTATCTTGGCCAGATTGAGCATGCAGGATTCCAAGATAGGTATGTTACCTTTCAGACATGGAATACCTCTATCCAAGAAGATGTGTCCTAAGACGCCTCAAGAGATAGAGGACATGAACACTGTTCCTTATGCTTTGACAATAGGAAGTTTTATGTATGCGATGCTGTGCATTAGGCCGGAGATTAGCTTCGCCCTTGGCAAGGTAGCTAGATATCAAAGTAATCCAGGACGAGAACATTGGTCTACGATGAAGCATATACTCAAGAACCTGAGAAGGACTAAGTAGTACATGTTAGTTTACCGTGCAGACATCTTGTTACCTCTGGGTCGCAATGATTCCGATTTCCAGCTAGATAGGAATGAAAGTAAGTCAACTCAGGTTATATGTTTACCTTGGAAAGGGGAGCCATTTCATGGAGGAGTGCTAAGCAGAAATGCATGGCAGACTCCACCATGGAAGTTGAGTACATAGCAGACTCAGAGGCAGTTTTGCTCAGGAACTTCTTGGTGGACTTAGAGGTGATTCCGAGTTTTCCACGTTGTATCACTATGTACTGTGATTACAGTGGAGCAGTAGCAAACTCAAAGGAACCTCGAGTCCACAGAGCAAGCAAACACATAGAGCGCAAATAGCATCTGATTCGAGATATCGTAGGTAGAGGAAACGTTGATGTTGCCAAGATTGCATCGGAGGACAACCTAGTTGATCCTTTCACAAAAGGTTTGTCGGGGAAGGCCTTCGTCAAACACGTGGAAGGAATGAGAGTCATGTTCATAGCGATACGATCGACATAGGTCTTTTAGAATAACGGATTAAGAGGACTATACTGTAAAAGCGAAAGCTTTAAGTATAAGTGGGAGATTGTTAGTGTTATATACTGAAAGCTTGGCTTTTCATGTTATTACACTTTTGCCCTTTATGAATGAGAATCATGTTAGATTAAACAAGTTCTACGTTCTGTTGTTTTGCACTTAGATAGAGTGGGTCGCTATCGGGCGAGCTGAAGATCACTCTATCAGTCGCTTCCGAAACAAGAATAATGGTTAACAACCTAGAAGGAAATGAACATCCATCCAAACAGTTGTAGTGTCAATTGTACAGTTTGTGTTAACTGATTAGTTACACTAATACATTTACGTATTGGACAGGATCGAAGAGAGGAGAAGTTTATTTTATACTGATCGTCGTAAATGAACTAGGGCTCGGTTAATTACTACGTTCTCTTAACCCGTAAGATATTAAACAGGCGAACATATGTAGTATATATTACTTTGATTCACTCGGGTGAAGTCCAGTACACTGGATTAATATTTCCACTGTTTTGGGTAACATTACTATATATAGGATGTGCTGTCAAGATATTTACGGTCACCATGTGCATTAGTTTGATGATGTTCCCGGAGCGAGTTCATGAAGGGTTATTATGGTAAACCCTGCAGGTGGTTTTAATTCCGGCATAGTAAGAATGTGATGAATGAGCGCTAGCTTCTGTGAAATAACAATAAATTAATTAATTCTTGATTGTCAGTAATCGAATTATTTAATGGACATTATATCTTAAACGTGGGGAGGTAAATCAAATAATTATAACTGCAGTCTCAAATGTGATTTGTGCTAGAAAAAGGGAGGTGCAATAATATTTATGTTGGTGGCCCATAATATTATTTAATTAATTTGAGGAGTGGGCTTGACCCATAATTAGTCTAATTAATTAAGGAGCCATATACTTAATCTCCTAAGGGTCCCTACTGTAGTTCTATATATATATCATTAAGCTCATGAGAAGAGGACAATCCCTCATAAATCAACAAACACGCCGCCTCTCATCTCTCTCTCTCAGTTCTCATTCGAGTTTTATCTCCTTCTTGTTGCTCCACTGGTACAAGTTGAAGAAGGGTGTTTGAGTAATACAGTAGAAGATCCACAGGTAATTGAACCCGATAATCTTCTACAGCAATCGACGATCCACGAGCCGAGACCGAGGATGGCCGACCGCCGACCACGACCCGCCGATCACCGCCGCGACGAACCGACGGAAGTCGACGACACCATCTGCGACGACCAGCCGCGACACGAGTCCGACAGTCTGACACGACCGGCGAGTCAACCTGTATGCGACACGACCCGATCCCGATCGCGAGCCCGAGACATTCAGTTCGTGATCCAGTTCTTGTTCATTTACGTGTACGGCCATCCGGAAGACAGCCAGATCGCCATAAGATTTTAAGCCATAAGTTATCTGCGTCAAACCTGTAGATCCGTTGCGCATAGGTTTACGTTTCCTATTGAATTCGTGAGTGGTACATAACGAGATCCTCACAGATCCCAACAAATAAATCCTCCCAGATTTTAAAGGCTAACTTCCATTCATCACCCAGTCGAATACGTATTTTATGGTAGCCGCTACGGAGGTCCAACTTTGTGAAAATGATGGCACCGTGAAGCTGATCCAACAAATCATCGAGGCACGGAATAGGAAAGCGATAACGACCGTGATTTTGTTAATCAGTCGACTATCCACAAACATACGCTAGAAGTCTTCCTTCTTCAGGACGAGAAAGACGAGAACCGCGCATGAGCTAAGGCTACATCGTACGACGCCACGCTTCAAGAGCTCTTCGACCTAGCGTCGTAACTCATCGTGTTCCACCAGACTCATGCGATATTGCGGAAAATTCGGTAAGAAGGATCCCAGAACCAAGTCTATCAAATGCTAAATATCACGAAGAGGCGGCAAACTGGACGGGAGATTCTCCGGAAACACATCAGCGAACTTTTCAAGTAAATGTCGGACATCCGACGGTGGAAGACGATCATCTGATGCATCAGGACAATATAATATGAAAACATAAAGGGCCTCACGCATCTCGTCAACAAATGTCGCCCGCGAGAGTAACAAAACTGGTGATGAAGTAGTAGAAAAAACGGCACGCGATAGTGTTGGGAGGAGAACAATCTTAACACCCTCGAACATAAATGTATATGAGCTAAGACGACCGTCATGTGCTGCCGAACAATCAAATTGCCACGGTTTCCCCAACAAAAGATGGCATGCGTCCATGGGAACAACATCGCCCACACTGAGTCACGATATTTAGTAACAATGAAAAAGGACACTAAAACACGGCGATCCACCGTCATGGAACTACCACGTTCTATCCATGCGAGTGAAGACAACTGCAGATGTTGCTCGCTCGACAACAGAAGTTTATCCACGTCCTCTTTAGCCACCACGTTCTCACAGGATCCCAAATCAATTATAAGACGGGAAGCCCGCCCACTCACCATACACATAGAGTAAAAAATGTGGTGATGTTGAACGAATCTTCTGAACCTACTAGGGGCGCCAAATAGGAATGGTGGAGAATAAGGGCGTGCCCAACATCGCCAGAAACATATTCCTCAACCAACGGAGCTTCCTCATAAAAAACCGGTAGAGAGTAGTATATTGGTTCGTCAACCTGCTTGACCATATCATCGGCGTACATGGCCCGTCCGCCATCAAACTGAGGGCATACCGACTGGCAGCTGCCCAACTCGCCGCAGGAGAAGCATCGTAGCCCGCCCGTAGACTGAGAGTTGCCCGCTGCTGTGTTGCGTGCAGACTCTATCCCCGCTGAAGAAGAAGCCCCCAACATTTTGAAACTCGGGCCAATATCACAGCTCGAACTCATGCTGGAGGGTTGCGCGTGTTAGTGTTATATACTGAGAGCTTGGCTTTGCATGTTATTACGAGTTTGCCCTTTCTGAATGAGAATCATGTTAGATTAAACAAGTTCTACGTTCTGTTGTTCTGCACTTAGATAGAGTGGCTCGTCATCGGGCAAACCGAAGATCATTCTATCAGTTACTTGCTAACAAGAATAGTTGTTCACAACCTAGATCGACATTAACATCCCATGCGAACGGTTGTAGTGTCAACTGTACAGTTTGTCTTGACTGATTAGTTGCACTAGTACATTTATGTATTGAACAGGATCCCAGAGAGGATAAGTTCATTTTATACTGATCGTCGTAAATGAACTAGGCCTCGGTTAATTACTACGTTCTCTTAACCCGTAAGATATTAAACAGGTAGATATATATAGTATATATTACTTTGATTCACTTGGGTGAGGTTTAGTTCGTTAGATCAATATTCCTACTGTTTTGGGTAATAATGTTATATATAGGATGTGCTATTAGGATATTTACGGTCAGCATGTGCGTTACTTTGATGGTGTCCCCGGAGTGAGTTCATGAAGGATTGTTATGCTAAACCCTGCAGGTAAATTAAGTTCCTTCATAATAAGAATGTGATGAATAGCGCTAGCTTCGGTGAATTATAAATTAATTAATTCTTGATTGTCAGTAATCGAATTAATTAATGGACATTATATCTTAAACATTGGGACTAAATCGGGTTAATTATTATTGGAGTCTCAAATGTAATTTGGGCTAGGAAAAAAGAGTGCAATAGTATAATGTTGGTGGCCCATTAATATTATTTAATTAATTTGAGAAGTGGACTTGGCCCACAGTTAGTCTAATTAATTAAGGAGCCCTATTCCTAGTCTCTTAATGGTCCCTACTGTAGCTCTATATATACATCATTAAGTTCATGAGAAGAGAATCTCAATCACATTATTAACGTGAAAGCCGCCCCCTCTCATCTCTCTCTCTCTCAGTTCTCATTCGAGCTTTATCTTCTTCTTGTTTCTCCACTGATACAAGTTGAAGAAGAGTGTATTAAGTAATAATATAGAAAATCCAAAGGTTATCGAGACCCGTTAATCTTCTATAGCAATTGACGGTCCACGAGATTGAGCCCGAGCACCGCCAACCGTCGACCAGCCATCCGCCGTGAACCGCCGCTGTAACACCCTGCTTATCAGAGTAAAATTTTCGCAACTTTTACTTCGAAAATACTTATATCTCTTTCGAAATCTTTTGCGATTATTTCGGGATGCTACTAAACCTTACATCTTGAAAATCCATTTATCTTTAACCTCTTGTCTAATAACTCTTTTAGACATAATTAAATAGATTTTCTTTAAACTTGCATTTAACCATATCCATCCTTCTCAAATTTATAAAAACTTCAAATCATAAATTCATTTAAGAAAATGCAAGTTCAATAGTCAATATGCGTAGCGGAATAATCGAAAGCGTGATTTATTATACAAACTTTATTAAAGACTTCATAAAAATCCTTGGAAATGCACAACCACCACCACAACGTCTCGAGCTCACACCTCCGGCCCGACCCTGTTTCCTGAAAAACACAATGGGGGTGAGTACGATCCTCTTGTACCCCGAAAAACACCCATACTAAAGTAAACAGCAATAATAATACAATATCATGATCTCCGGTATATAACTGGACTTAAAACTCTTCCAGTATCTCAACTTCATCTCACCGATATCTCATCGGATACTTGTGCACAATCTAATGGATATTTCTCAGGCAACTCAACGGCCTCCATTAGAACTTAGGAAATACTCGTAAGGCAACTCATCAGCCTTCTTCCCAAGCGTATAAACTTAAACTTTTACATACCTCGGACATGATATCAATATTATACTCAATGTAATACCCAGTCTGGGTCCCCACCTTTCGTCGTTTGTAAATTCGTAAGTGTTGTTCTCGTATAGCAACCTCCTCAAGCTACATAAAAATATATAAACAAATATACTAAGTACTTATGCTCATTTACTCAATAAGATGCTCGGTTTTCTCAATTCATTCGGATAACTTATTCAAATCTTATAGAAATTTCAATAATCATATCATTTCTCAAATTAACTTTTCTCAATCTTTTACTCAATCAATCTCATCATATATCATATTCTCCAAATCATTCATATTTACTCATACTCATTTTTCACTTTTACATCTTGAAAGTGAAATTAAACTCAATCATATTCATCTTTTAAACATCACATCCAATCATGATATTAATATGCCATACTTAATACAATTTTTATAAAATTGTATGCTCAACATATTAAACCATCTTCATCAAATTTACTCATCACTCATATGAGAATAGATCATAAAAATCTCATTTTAATATCTTGATCATCTCATGAATATTCTTGTATATATATATACTCATCTTCACATATATGCCATCTCATATTCATAACTCATTCATTTCTCATCTTTAAATTATGAAATTTAACAGTCATAATCTCAACTTCTAAATAGACATGTCATCAAAATTTCATAATTTAATCATTCATATTCATCAAGTTATGAGAATTTAAAGTCATAGTGAACATAAACTTCATCTTACATGTTCATCTTCAAAAATTCATAACTTAAGTTATACTATGCCAAATCACTCAATTCTTGATCTCATGTACTCCTCTTTTACACAAGAATTATTCATTTAAATCATACTTTTCCAGCATATTCATATCTTCATGAAAATCTCATGCAAATCAACATCTCATTTCATTAAGCACATATATCACATAATTGATCTTTAACATCTTTAACTCATTTTATCAATTATAAACTCCAACTTCTACATCATGATATACATACTCATAAACATGTAAACTTATCATAAAAGCATGAACTCAAATATGAAACATTAAGATAAGTAAATTACCTCCTTCTAGGTGAAGTTAAAAACTTGATTCTTCACTCTAATGTCCTTACTTCTCCAAAGTTACTCCTTCTCACTCTCTCTCACAAACTCATATGACTTTAGTAATTATTTTGGTGTAAAAACTCTAAGGTTTAAGCCTCTATTTATAGGCACAAATTGGAGAAACATCCAAATAGAGTGATTAAATGATCATAATATAAAATTTAACTTATAAACTTAAATAATCTTTAAAATATCTTATGATTTACTTATTCATCCATCCAAAGCATATTTAAACATCAAAAATGGCCTTTGGTTAAAGTCACAATCGAATTCTCAATAATCCAATTGGACTGTCGGCAACACGACTCGTGTGGGGGAGTCACACGACTCGTGTGGCCTCACACGACTCGTGTGCCTTGCCACACGACTCGTGTGGCTTGCCGACACTTTTGCTCTTAATCATTCATCTTCTCACACGACTCGTGTACTATATCACACGACTCGTGTAGCTTCACACGACTCGTGTGGCTCATCACACGACTCGTGTCAAAATCCCGAGGCTAACTTTCATCACGTCTCCATCCCACACGTCTCCATCCCACACGACTCGTGTGCCTCTCCACACGACTCGTGTGGCTTCACACGACTCGTGTGTCTCTTCACACGACTCGTGTGGCTTGTTCCTTGAAAATTCTTAATTTCGGTCCGATAACTTGCTATCTTGGACTCGAAATCACTTATTTCTTTGAACAATAACTCATAATAACTGAGATAACTGAAAGGGATATTACAGCCGCGACCGAACCGGCAAAGGGAGACGCACGAACTGGTGACCACCAGAGTGCTGCGACCCGATCAGTTCATCCCCGAGACACGGCCGAGACACGACCTGGTCCGATTCACGCGAGCCCAAGACTTCTGTCGTGTGATCCAGTTTGTTCGTGTGCTATGTATGGCCATCCGGAAGATCAGCCAGATTGCCAAAAATTTTAAGCCGTAAGTTCTCTACGTCAAACCTTTAGATCCGCTGCGCATAGGTTTACGTTTTCTATTGAATTCGTGATTTGTGCATAATGAGATCCTCATAGATCCGAACAAGTGGTATCAGAGCACTTGGTTAATTCGTTTTGTACGAAGTTCAAATTTTTACGGCTTTATTTGACAAGATGTGTTCAAACGCAGCCATATATTGGATTATATTTGCATAACTCGTTTTTGTAAGAAAATAGTTAATCCTCTATTATGGCCGACTATGTGTTTGATGAATGTTATTAAATGTGATGTATGGCTTTAAATTTGTTTTTAAAGCCTCAAACATGTCGAGGAATTGATGGATGAATGTTTGTAATAATTATTCACCCGGGGGTTGATAGGATAAATTTAATTATTTGTATAGAAAACATGTACATCCATTCGTTGGATCTAGGATCGAATTATGTAATTTTATAAATTATATTTTTCATGTTGTGATCGTTTGTTGATGACCCAGAGATCCCAAGAAATCAACGAGCCTCGAAGAACAAAAAAAAAAATCGGCGTTTTTTCGACCACGGACGGCGGGGGCCAGAAGGCGACGGTCACCGGAAGCTGAGGGAAGGTGGAGAGGTTTTGCCTTGTTGACCAAGCAGTACAATATCAACCAAGATTCTACTGCTAAAGGAGTTCCAGTTGAACAGGGAAAGAACTGTCACAGTTTCCTTGTTTAAGGAGATTCAATATTTAATGGCCATAATAGTGGATTTATTTATTAATTTAAATTCATGCCATTAATTATTATTTATGCATGTTAATTAATTATGTTCTTGCATGGGATTAATTTAGTATTGCAAGAATAATTATGCATGTTAATTAATTATGTAATGCATATGATTAACTTAGAATTGTATCAATAAATTATGCATGATAAT